CTTGACTCTGGCCTTCCACTGACCCCTTTTAAAAAGAGTTCCTTTCAACTTCATCAATATAAAAAGGGCCCTTATATGCCACTTGTCAAAACTTGGCCTACCCTCAGTCCTGTTTTGACCCCTCTCTAAGAACTTAAGCAACACGTGTGTGAGTGTGTGTGTGTGTGTGTGTGTGTGTGTGTGTGTGTGTGTGTGTGTGTGTGTGTGTGTGTGTGTGCGCGTGTGTGTGTGTAAAGGAAATAGTGTGAGGAGGAGCAGGATGAGAAAATGCAAGAACAAGGATAAAAGACAGAGCATCCATTTGTTTTTTCCCTTCTGCAGACAAAGAAAGCAGGAAGGTCATCTTTTATTTTCTCATTTTCTCTCCCCCTTTGTATTCTTAACCTTATAGACTTCTATAAACCTATAAACAAATACAGAATTATCAATGGCATGGCTGAGAATTATGCTAAATAGCCAGTATTTATAGGATTAAATCCCCATGTTAACATTCTGTCAATTGTCTATGGAGGCATCAAAGGCTGTCTGGGTTTTTGGATTTTTGTTGCTAAGATTCACAAAAGAGATCAAGGTGTGTTTTAAAGGTCATTTAGTCCTTTAGTGTGTGTGCAGTGTGTGTGTTAACTCATTTACTGCTAGACAGCCATGCAAAACATCATTCAACACCAGTATATGGTGTGAAAGAGTCCCTACGTTTTTGCTCAGTGGAGCTGAACCATGACCATCCTGTCCTGAATACATGCGCACACACACACAACACACACACACACACACACACTAATGCTGTGCTGTACCATCCCACCAACTAAACAGCGTCCCAGTGCTGTTTGGGTGACTGGGTAGGGATCAGTCACAGTCTGGTAGCTGGACCCCCAGACAGTGCGCGTCGATGACGGGGTTTGCTATGTCATGGGAACACATGGGGTGATGCGGTGGTTATTTTACTTTTTTTTTTTCAAATTACAAAAGCAGGTTAGTCTAATTACGCTCCAAAATCCCTTTTTCGATCCAAGCCAAGACGGCTGGAACGCAAAACAATACAAAGACGGAACAATGCAATGCAATGTAATGATTGGATGCGGTTGGGTTAGTTGGTATAGAAGAAGGTTTGGGGGTGGTGGTGGACAGAACCATACGCTGACACTGAACTCTCAGTTATATCCAGTTTAGTCTGAACGTAGGCACCAGTATAGGCAGCAGAGAGGAACACTAATGACTTCTTCTTCGCTGAACATAAAAGCTAAAACTCATGGATTAGATATTTCTAGGCTATTCAGCCAAGCCCTTATTATGAAGAATTGAGGCATCAGAGAGGAATTCTACTTCATGCTTAATTCTCACAGTGAGTTGATTCTCTTCAAACTGCTCATTAAGTCTTGACAGTAAAGTTACTTTAAATGTCACAGCTTCTGTAGGATTTAAAAGTGTTTTTAATTGAGTTCTAAAAATGTATATATTTGTGGACAGATTTGAGCCTTGCATTGAAAATGGCTCGTTCAGGAATGCCTTCGGGCTGTTGGTATTGCAGAGATACAAAGCTAACATAAAACTCATCTAAAAGCTTCCAAATTCAATTAAAGGTACTGTAGAGGTTATTTACAGTTCTTTTGGTTTGTCTTTACTATCTCGGATAAAAATGGTTGTTAAAGTTCCACACCAAGGGAAACAAGGTCAAGCATAAAGAGAGGCTAGATGTTGCAGTGATAAACTCTGTGGCAGTAGAACACCACTCTATTGAAAACAACATAAAAGACACTGTCCAGAAAATCTATCTGACTGTGGGTCTAAAGGATGACATGATGGACACCAGGACCATCATCATTTAATCAGATTAACTCAGATGTTCTGGAGGCAACAGAATAATTCAAACCGATGTAAGGCAAAAAGCTTCTATCATAGAAAATTAGGTGGAATAACATCTATCACAGAGAACAATCTTGCATTGTCCATCACTACTGTAAATCAGGCAAAAAAAAAGCAATTGCTTTTATCTCAGCATCAGAGGAGGTCTGCTGTGTTAGAGAGACTGAGCACACAGTAGTCTGCCCCAGTGTGTGCTGTTTCCTCTCCTCAATCAAATATATTTGGAAGCATGATTTTTGGGGTTGATGTTTTTCTTATTCAACAGTTTTGCAGTGATTAGAAATATGCTGGAGAAAGAAAGGTCAAACCAAGACAGTCTGGGTAGATGGTATCTTAAACTGTTGGTCCTCTGTTCTCTGATACACATGTCCAATTTCACATACTGTTCATGGGCTGTTGCTATGTTTTCTTCACACAGGCAGTGTAGGAATTGTATCTTAGATTCAACTTCTTTTGGATTTGTTGTATTTAGGGATGCCCAATTAATCAAAATATTATCAAAACTGCAATATGGCCAAGTGCAATATCCAAATTGCAGGAGCTGCTATTTTATGGTAAAGGTAAAATATGTCACAAAAAATAAATAAAGCATAAATAAAGAATTGTGATGCTCCAGTAATGCCCCAACCTCCAAATCATATCCCAGACATAAAGAAATATGCTTATTTGGTGCAGACCCCAGCAAAAATCACATATTCATCATTTTATATTGTTTCATTCAATTCAATTCAGTTTTATTTATAAAGCCCAATATGTTTGCAAAAAAAGAAGAACAAATTTTTCAGAATCTGAGGAGAGAGAGAGAAGGAGACAAGGGGCTCGGCGTATCATAGGACGTCCCCCGGCAGACTAGGCCTATGTCAGCCTAACTAGGGGCTGGTCCAAGATAAGCCTGAGCCAGCCCTAACTATAAGCTTTATCAAAAAGGAAATTAAAACAAAAAAGGTGAAATTTCTACTAAACTCCTTGCAATATCTATCAAAAAAATTGCAATATGACTTTCTTTGCAAATCATGCAGCCCTAGTTGTATTTTTTAAAACCTATTTAAATGCATTTGTAGCGTTAGCTGCAATGGGAAAATGCCAATAGAATGGCACCCCTCACTTTAAAATTTGGATCAAGCATACTGTACTACCTGTTGAAGGTGATGTTTCACATGGTTTTGAGATTCAACAAATAGTATGGGCAAACTATTCTGCCTCTTTCTTCCTTGTACATTTGTTCAACTCTAAAGATACCAGGAGCTTTAAGCACTTGCACAGCTTTTTTTTTTTCCTGATCCCATTTGAAATTGTCCCACAGACAGTTCTTCAGTTTGTGACCCCTTATTGGGAAGCTTGGGTCTATGATCTCTGCATAAAGTTATATTCCTCTATTTGGAGGCCAAGAATGGTTGTGCTTTTAATTATTTTTGTTGTGCCTGTGAACTTGATATTATATGTTAATTATTTCATTATCTTGCGATAACGAAGCTTATTTTCTTGTGATAACAGATTTATTTATGTTGATTCTTGAGATAACAAAACGCTGATTTCAGTCAGGACCACTTTAGTCAAAGACAACTTTATTTTCTATTTGCAGTATAATATTTGGCGGTATGGCTCTGTTCTGTCACCTCTCTGCCCTTCCATGTGCCTATGTGAAAAGCCTAAGGCAGAGAGAGCAAACCCCCCTCCCCTTCCATTTGCATACATGGGAAGCCTAAGACAAAGACCCCGGGTTACAGAACAGAGCAAGCATTAATGCCAATCAGAAATGACATTCATAAGTCAGACACAGCATGAAAAGGAGGAGCTGGGGTGCAGGTGCCTTGCAAAGCGGCTTGCAGAGTAAGCGACAACAGTACGCAGGCTAAAGCAGTTTAGAAAGGGCACTCTGAGTAAATTTTGCCAGTTGGTTGCGTGGAAGGGAATCATGTGATCCATCAGCTGACTCCCCTCTGTCAATCAGCTGATCCATCAGTTGATTGGGCTTCTTGAGATCAGCTGATGTAGCTGGGATGTGAGCTGAGCTTGACACTGTGGTCTGACTGAACTAACGCTATGCTCAGTTTCTCACGATAATGAGATAGTTTATCACAAGAAAATGGCCTTTGATTTCTTGAGATCACAAGATGATTATGGAGAACTCGAAAATGAGTGTCTGGTTCATTTGATCACACCTGATTTCAGCCTTTAAGATCACCGGTATGACTGTCAGAAGGGATTCATAATTGAACCTTGAATGAAGTACAATCATAACAACAGTTATGTGTTGGTCAATAATGGATACTCTTTGATCTGACTGTTTCACCTTAAATCAGTTGCTACACTTTTAAGAGGCCATCTATGTGTGCTTGCATGGCACTAGAGCCACGTTCTGTTCCAAAGTTTATATAAAAAGAACTCCCTGTTCAGGGAATGTTGGTTAAGGGAACTTCCCATTACTAAATTCCTCCATTCTGTACACCCTGCATTGTCACCAAAGAACACATTGCTTCCTTTGCACATTAATCTGCTTATATAAGCACCTTGAATACCTGTTGTTGCTGCTACTGTGGGAATTGCATACTACTTATATAAGAATAAAAAAAGTTTGTCGCAATATTGTAGTGACACTGAGCCGTAACATCAATATTGGTTTGGCTAGCTTTAAGTTTAGCGTGCTAGAGGGCAAGGCACACTGACTGATTATTAATCTTACTTGTCAACTTCTGGGGAACTGAAGAACCATTGTTAAGGTCTTAACCACAAAGTTCACTGTTCCCTTTGAACTGAGCATTGATTGCTCCCTACAGTTTGGAATCTTCTGCATACCCTTCGCAGTCCACGTCACGGGGAGCTACTAGACAATCGGCATGTACTCCTGATCTCTGGAAACCACAAGTTATTAGAGGAAATTAACTTTTGTTTTCTCATGATTTGGGATTTATTATCTCATTATCATGAGATAACTAAATAATGAACTTGTGATCTCGAGATAATGACATTAAAAAGATCATTTTAAGCAGGGCTGTTCTCTGCTTCCATATATGACTACACTTAAATACCATTTAGAGGATTGCTTCTGTGTGTTAAACAGTGTTGTCTGATTGTAATTAAGTTCCCAGTGGGGTGGCAAAATTTTTAATTTTTTTCCTTGCTTCTCTCTCCCACAGCAGGACAATATAGACCGATCCTCCAATCACAGACAGGCTGATCTCATTGGTCCGAGCTTCCAGCAGTCAGCCAATCGGAGTTCTCCTAACCACCATCAAGGTCGGTCCACCGCTCCACCATTCTGTGTGTGTGTGCCTGCATGTGTGCGTGTGTGCGTGTGTGCTTGCGTGCGTGCTAATGCTTGCACATTAAACCAGTCAGATATTGTTGACTTACACTGGTGTTGTATGACACAGATGAACATACTTAGTAATGCTCTGACATCGTGTTACATATGATTTTACATAGTAATGAGGCGTGTCATATGATATTGCATTCTTCTTGGATTTACTGTACTTCGACTTGGTGTAACATAATAAGCTTGCTGCATGTTCTCCATTTATTTTCATACATAAGAGAAAACAAAAAGGTAATAGAAACTACCTGGGAAATCTGGTACTACATACTATGGGTTTGTGTGTGTCTGTGTGTGCACGTTGGAGTGTGTGTGTGTCCCTCGTCTCAGTACAGTGTGGACAGCAGCTTGCTGCTCATTACTCTCCTCTGGGCCGGGGGTGGGTCGAGGGGGATAATATATATTTGGGTCTCTTCCGCTGTAAACATTTCAGCAGTTCAAAGGGTGATCTGCATGGACACAGGGTGCCATTATAATTACGCTGTCTATCTAATTGTGCCATACAGGGTTCATCCATGACAATCGGAGCATGAGATTTAAGCACAATATTGGCTCAGCATGGGAGGTAAGGGCGTGGAGTCTGCGAGGACTCAACGAGTGAATTAGAACGCTTGGCCCTGGCATGGGAAATAAATGGAGCAGAAATTACATTGTCATTTTTCAGGATCAGCCAGGATGGAGGGAACTCAGGAGGACTGAAGAGGCAGACAAATAGAGATGACTTTAACCCAGGAACATTTTTTGCTTACACTGTCTGAATAATGATATTTTGGATGGATACCCCATTTTTTTCTTAAAGTAGATTATGTCAGACATGTGTTAGGAGCCTGATTTATGAGCACTGGTACTGCAGACCATTTAGATTTTTGTCATATCTCCCTCTCCTCTGACTAACTCATTTTTTGTAAATTTCTCAAGCAATGGGCAGTTAAGCCACCACTTTAAATACTTTTACCATATTAGCATGCCTCACAAGCTCTATTACGTATGCTGCTTAAAGGCTGTATAATTTGAGGAGAGATTTTGAATTTAGCCCCAGCGCCTCTGGTGTTATTAGCAGGATTATAATCCTTGCTGACGTTATTAAACTTGTTTTCCAGTAAACCCACTCTTTCATTCTTATAGGGCTACAATAGAGCCAACAGCGACTTGCTGTGCTTGCTATAAAGCTAGAACAGTCATAAACCTATTAATTTTAAAGGGAACACCATGGCCTTGTTGGAACACGACCCACTATTATTTCATATGTTTGGAATGGGATGCTATTGAGCAGCTTATTGCAGCATTTGCAAGCCAATAATGGATGTCTGAGTTTAGAAGTTGCTCCACATGATATTTTCAATATGTAATCTAAAAATTCTGCCGTGCACATAATAATAAGGTTTTCCCAAATGCAGTCTGTCTTTAAATAATTAGAAGAATAACAAGCCATGTTGTCTCGAGCCGTGACATGACACATCCTGAATGTGAATTCTCTCCAGTCTTTCACAGATGTGATGTCATATTGTGCAAACGATGTCTCCTCTTTGTTGTTTTTCCCAGCCACACGCCATAGTGACTTCAGTAGTATAACTGAGGTTATTGTCTCTCTCACTCTCTCTGCACTTAGGCCACATATTATATAATATTTGGAAATATTCTAAAAGGAGAAGGGTACATCCATCCTGAGTCATGTATCCCATCACTCAAAGAATCACTTGACTAGACATAATAATCACCAGCTCTCACCAAGTTTTCATTATATTGTTTTAGAACATCAGATATGGTTAATGTTTGGAGGAAATGCAAGCACAGGTACTCAAATTCTACTGGCAATTTCAGTAATTCATACTTCTAGACATTATCCCCAAACTAACGGTGCTGTTCTTTTTTTTTTTTTTTTTTTTTAAAGATATTTTTTAGGGCATTTTGCCTTTAATGGACAGGACAGGTAAGCGTGAAAGGGGGAGAGAGAGAGGGGCATGACATGCAGCAAAGGGCCACAAGCTGGATTTGAACCCGGGCCACTGCGGCAACAGCCTTGTACGTGGGTCGCCTGCTTTACCCACTAAGCCACCGACGCCCCTAACAGTGCTGTTCTTAGGGTTAAAAAGTAACAGCATTCAGTGTTTTTATTGTAAACTCTCACCAATTGGTTTGTGGACATCTGTTTTGAAGCCTTAAGTTTGGCATTTCAGCCATCGCCATCTTGGTTTTTTGGAGCCAGAAGTGACCATATTTGGACAAGAGATTGAGGTGTGAAGGAGCGAGGAGTGGATTTCACTCATAGCGACAACTTGCAGACGGCCTGTCCCTCAAAGCAGACCCCCAATTGTGTGTAACTTTAAGCCTTAATAAAATGCAAACCGTCAAGTTATATAAAAATTCAGCACCCATACACTTGCCATGAATATTGAAATGAACTGTTTTCTGTACCAGGCTGTAAACATGTTTATTTTTGCTGTAAAGTTAGGCATTTTAGCATTGTGGTCTATGGGGATTGACTGGCATTTTGGCACTTGCACCTTGGATTCATTTTTCAGCCTCGAGGTTGCTACTTGGTTTTCATACAAACCCCTAAAGGGTCAAATGCGAAAATACTTTGATATACAGTACAGGCCAAAAGTTTGGACACACCTTCTCATTCAATGCGTTTTCTTTATTTTCATGACTATTTACATTGTAGATTCTCACTGAAGGCATCAAAACTATGAATGAACACATGTGGAGTTATGTACTTAACAAAAAAAGGTGAAATAACTGAAAACATGTTTTATATTCTAGTTTCTTCAAAATAGCCACCCTTTGCTCTGATTACTGCTTTGCACACTCTTGGCATTCTCTCCATGAGCTTCAAGAGGTAGTCACCTGAAATGGTTTTCCAACAGTCTTGAAGGAGTTCCCAGAGGTGTTTAGCACTTGTTGGCCCCTTTGCCTTCACTCTGCGGTCCAGCTCACCCCAAACCATCTAGATTGGGTTCAGGTCCGGTGACTGTGGAGGCCAGGTCATCTGCCGCAGCACTCCATCACTCTCCTTCTTGGTCAAATAGCCCTTACACAGCCTGGAGGTGTGTTTGGGGTCATTGTCCTGTTGAAAAATAAATGATCGTCCAACTAAACGCAAACCGGATGGGATGGCATGTCGCTGCAGGATGCTGTGGTAGCCATGCTGGTTCAGTGTGCCTTCAATTTTGAATAAATCCCCAACAGTGTCACCAGCAAAACACCCCCACACCATCACACCTCCTCCTCCATGCTTCACAGTGGGAACCAGGCATGTGGAATCCATCCGTTCACCTTTTCTGCGTCTCACAAAGACACGGCGGTTGGAACCAAAGATCTCAAATTTGGACTCATCAGACCAAAGCACAGATTTCCACTGGTCTAATGTCCATTCCTTGTGTTTCTTGGCCCAAACAAATCTCTTCTGCTTGTTGCCTCTCCTTAGCAGTGGTTTCCTAGCAGCTATTTGACCATGAAGGCCTGATTCGCGCAGTCTCCTCTTAACAGTTGTTCTAGACATGGGTCTGCTGCTAGAACTCTGTGTGGCATTCATCTGGTCTCTGATCTGAGCTGCTGTTAACTTGCGATTTCTGAGGCTGGTGACTCGGATGAACTTATCCTCAGAAGCAGAGGTGACTCTTGGTCTTCCTTTCCTGGGTCGGTCCTCATGTGTGCCAGTTTCGTTGTAGCGCTTGATGGTTTTTGCGACTCCACTTGGGGACACATTTAAAGTTTTTGCAATTTTCCGGACTGACTGACCTTCATTTCTTAAAGTAATGATGGCCACTCGTTTTTCTTTAGTTAGCTGATTGGTTCTTGCCATAATATGAATTTTAACAGTTGTCCAATAGGGCTGTCGGCTGTGTATTAACCTGACTTCTGCACAACACAACTGATGGTCCCAACCCCATTGATAAAGCAAGAAATTCCACTAATTAACCCTGATAAGGCACACCTGTGAAGTGGAAACCATTTCAGGTGACTACCTCTTGAAGCTCATGGAGAGAATGCTAAGAGTGTGCAAAGCAGTAATCAGAGCAAAGGGTGGCTATTTTGAAGAAACTAGAATATAAAACATGTTTTCAGTTATTTCACCTTTTTTTGTTAAGTACATAACTCCACATGTGTTCATTCATAGTTTTGATGCCTTCAGTGAGAATCTACAATGTAAATAGTCATGAAAATAAAGAAAACGCATTGAATGAGAAGGTGTGTCCAAACTTTTGGCCTGTACTGTACTTTTTATAATTCTAAATTCACTAATCTTTCTCTCAGTATGGAGGAGCATCAAATATCGAGATATTTTTGACCAAATACCTCAATATTGTAAGACTGACTATTTGGGCTTTTCACAAAATATTTACACAGAGAGAGAGATTTTTGCAAAAATAATCACCAGTTGTTAAAGGTAAAAAAAAAATAGAACAGCTAGATCAGTCTGGTAAGTGCAGAAAATGACATCACTTTACTGTAATTTGGCCTTTAAAAACAGGAAAAGACAATGCCTATAATATAACATCATCCAGAGCTACAGGGATGCACAATATTGGATATTTTGCTGATATCCAAATGCTGATATGTAACAATTAATTTGACCAATAACTGATACCAATATTGATATATCCACTTTTTTCCTTACCTAATTTTAGTGATCATTAAGTCTCTTCTGTCGTGGCATTAATATTATATTATACAGGCATACTCTCATTGTGATGGCCCACCAGCAGATGGAGACATGAAATTGTCATGTGTGTAATATTCAGTCATTGTGCAAACGAGACCATGTTGGCCAGTTCAGATTTTTCATTTTAAAGCCGCTGACGTGCCATTATTATTGTGCATCCCTAATGTAGTCTTATATCACAATATCAATATAATATCCACATATTGCACAGCCCTACTCCCTGTACCTTTAAAGTAAGGTTCAGTAAGTAGATCTGGAGTCGACAGTTGGCAGTTTCCTCTGTTTCATACTCTACACCAGTGGTCCGATACCTGAGCCACACAAGTATAAAACAAAAGTCAGATAAATAGTCTTGAGATTTTGACATGTTATCATTTCAGATAATTTATTTTCACCTTATATGATAAAATTCACTTCATTTCAATTCAAATAGTGTCAAGAATACCATAACATTGGGCTGAAAGCTCCAGAAAAGACAGTTACTCGACCTTGGGTTAAGATTTTTGTTAAAAAAAAAACTGCCGACTTTAATTTTAAACATTTAAGACAGCTTCCAAGGGAAGTAATCATGCCTTAATTAGGAAGTAGTTTCATTTTATTTATTCAGAATAAGGAAGGCAGCAGGCGGTGAAGAACCTGTGATCTTTCAGAGACTTCATCCTGTGTCCTGGGAAAACATGACATCTAGACAAGGTTCTGTCCTGGAGAAAGGAGACAGATAAGGACAAGAGAAAAGGGTGGAAAATGGGAGTATGTGGGGTGCTCAGATGTGGTGTGCTTCTTGAACTCCAGTTGTGACATAACAGAGCATTTGAGGTGCCAGCATAGTCAGTCATGAGTTTAGTGCAGTGCCAACAGTGAGATTAAATCATCTCCGTGTGACTGTGTGAGGTTATTTAGTGATTTCATTTTCTGTACAATAATTGAGATATCTAGGTGAGGCAGTTACATCCTATTTCAAACTGTGGCAGACCTACTGATGATGATATGCGATTTATTTATGTGGGTAGGTTTGGTCTTGGCATTTGCACTCTATTTTTTGTTGCTTGTGACTTTGTTGGTCCAGAAATCGGTGGAGTGAATGTTTATTAGAGAAGGCTCGGGCTATTTTTTAGCCCTAATTTCACCACTCATAAGCTCTTAGAATAGAAAGAAGAGAGAAGGCCAAACATGTTGGAGGAGGAGGGAAGTAGATACACTCAAAGCATGGAGGAAATGAGAACAATAATGTCAGTGTTATCTTGTGAGGCATCAAAGTTTTGTATTTGGTTCTGATTTCTGTTTAGTCTAAATCTAAGAAGAGAAGATGAAGGACTGATTATAAAACAAATGTCTTCATGTTAACATGTTCAACCTCAGATAGAGCATTAATTAATGAGGGGTTTTGAATCAATTAGTCAAGAGAATAATTGTCTAATTAATCGGTACTAAAGGTAGTTATAGCCCCAGTGTAGTTCCCATAGAGCACAGTATTAAACAAGAATTACCCCACATGGATCCACGCTCAGGTTAATCACACATCTTAAAATACAGGATTTGTTTAGAGGAAGGATTTGTTCAAGAGGTGTTTATTTCTTCTGCTGTTTTTATCCATTTATTGCACAAACTGAGCTGTGCAATTAACCTTAATCTTTTTTCTGCCCCATAAAGCTCTAGAGGTGCTAATAATCTCTTTATACCCATTTTATCCTGTTGCACCTGCTGCATTCTCAAATACCAGAGCCACAGCCACTGTGTGATTATCAGCAGAGATGCTTTTTTAGGTGGATACAGCAGTAAATGAGTTCTTGCTTGTGCATTTGTCAGATTTTGCTGGTGTGTCTCCATTTTTTTTTGCTTAAACCACTTTGTTTGGCACATGGCCGCTGAGTGGGAATTGAGTTAGTATTGAACTTCTTTTAGACCTGGGGTGCAGGTTTATGCTACATGCTACAATAATGCTTTTAACATGTTGATCTTGATCATGCTGCCTTGCATCACAGCTGCAAATTCTCACTTTCAACAGTAGCTTTGTGTGCTGTTTTTGAGAGGATCTAATTAATGTAAGGCCAGGTGTGCCATGACATCAATGCCACAGCTACGTATCCGGCAAAACTTCTGTTCCTCTGTACTCCATGTCAAAGGAAGAACTGCCATAGTTTGCTCTCTGCTCCAAATCTTTAGGGGTTTTAATCCTGTGCGTGCGTGCCTGCCTTCATGCTGTCTGTGTCATCAATCTTTCAGCCTTACACCCAGCTGCATGACGCATACCTTTGTTTGCTTGATTGTGACATGCACAGGTGATTGCCAGCATATGGGCTGATAATGACGCAGACACCGTACATCCATGCGTGAGTTTGTGGGTTGTGTTTCTTTGTATGCAAACAGCTCTGCCAATCCCCTTCCAGAGGCTAAACTAGGTCATATTTATGAAGAAACTTTATTTTCTCTCAGTAGCTGGAGGGTACATGTCTCACCTCGTGAGAATGATGGATGATGAGCAGATGATGTGTTCAGGGTACAAGATTTTTTTTTTCGGATGATTGCTTACTTTTGATGTAGTTTCTGGTTTACCCTCATAGCGTTTGTGAATTTTTTTTTTTTAATCCTAAAAAGAAAGATTTTTTAAAAAGTACAACTGTCTTGCCCTGTCCTTAGCCTTGTGCATGTCCTGTGGTATATAGCTCTTTAGCTCTCCAGGCTATCTATAAGTAGCTGCTCCAGCTTACCTGTCGCTATTAATACCTACAGATTAACCACCTGTGATTCACAGGCACCTGTGATACAGCTACCTGACACGTTTTCAGGAAAAGCTCCTCAAAGGCCACACTTTAGTTTCAGCGGGTTTCAGCATCATTTGGAGACAACGCTATGCTGCTGCATGTTGAGCTGCATGATATGTAAAACAATATTGCGATTATTTTGATAGGTATTGTCACAATTTTAGTGTGATTGGTAGTTTTTGCTTTTCACTTTCACTGAAAAAAATATGAATATTATGATGATTTTCACTGCGGTCTGTGCCTCATAAGCATGTTCCCTTAAGTCTGGCTATGATTTGTAGGCCGACCATCTCTGCAGCATCACAGTGCTTCATTTATAATGGTATGTTGTGACACATATTACCTTTATAAAAAATTGCAGCCCCAGCAGTTTGGATATTACACTTGACCATATTGAGATTTAATATCTCGATTAATTTTGGAGCCCTAGCTGTGTGCAGAGATGGGGGTGTTTCCTAGTCTGCTAACCTGTGGCTCCTGTTGTTGTGTTTGCGTCTGGAACATTTTTTTTTTTTTTTCATGGGAAACTGTTTTCTTGCCAGGCTTAGGGTCTAACTTTGAAGCCAGTGCTTTTAAGACTTTACATCAATCAAATTGCTGTTCTCCAACGTCAGCTTTCCTCTGAGCAGCGGGACTTTTAGCCGCTTTAGAGTGGCATGACCCTCGCACCACCTCGCATGATCCAGCTGTCAGCTGTCCTGCGCCCTGAGCTGAGGGGGAAGTTACATGAGTCATACAGTACAGCGCAGATTATAAGCCCTGGAGTTCTGACAGCAGGACTGCGTGATCAAAGTTAAAATATGGTGCTTAATAAGCTTTCATTCACTCATATACTTGCAAAGCTTTGTTTTTGAGGCTCTAAGTGTTTGTATGTGCTGCGGATTGTTTTTTTTTTCAGTCATTAAGGTTGCATTTTGCATGTTACAGAAAGAAACAGAAACTGACAGCACTGAAACTTCACATCAAAATGCACATTAACACTGTTACTGATCAGATGTGTCTCCATCCTTTAGTGTAAATAGTAATGTGATTTAATCCTAAACCATATCTGATCACAAATGTCTTTATAATAAATGATTGTCATGAGAATAAATGCTATTTAAGTGTGAGGTTGTGTCCTGATATCTGTATGGGGTTCCTTTGCATCCACCCCATGCATTTGAGAGCCCCTGCCCTATACAATTAGAGCTTGTCTCCCCCTAGTGGTTTGCTTGTGTTCTGCACTTCTGGATCCAGAGATTTGATGATGAATTCATGAGTTAGATTTCTTTTTCATAACGAAGAATTATTAATCATAAGATGAGTCACTGCTGCAGATTGTGATTTAGAAAGAGCAAAGTTATGCACCCAGTTTACCCAAATGATAAAACTTTCACAGCATGAAGCAATTAGACAGAGAGAGAGCCTCCCTTCTATTGAGCTCACTTCAAACTTCGATACAACATGCTCCTGGAGTTGGTTGAAAAATTCTCTTCATGAATTTAAATGTGCCTAGAGGTTTTCACACGGGCTTTGAGGATAGATCCCCCCCTCTGAAGAGGATTCCACATCCTGCTTTTAAAGACCTTTTAAAGGCAGAATGTTTGATACATGTGGTGAAGTTAGAGCAGATGCTACCAGTGCGATGCCTCCGCTTTGAACCCCAGTGGTGAGAGTTGAAAAGTGTTCCAGGCAGGTTTGTGCTTGTACCTGTTATCCCTGGAGATTTGGCTCACGGAGCAGCACAATGTACGCAGTCAAGATAGTCTTGCTGATTGAGCACTCTCACAAAACTGGTTACCAGTGTGTGTACGTGAGTGTGTGTGTTTGTGTGCTTCTATGATTGTGCATGCCAGTGTTTTTATTTCCTTTTTTTTTTTTTTTTTAGTATTTCTTAGAATGAAGGTGGCGCAAAGTAAGGTCAAGGGTTCACATCCTGGCCACAATGAAATGATAGAGAAACTGAAATAGACAGGGAAAGTCCCAACAATATCCAGGGACTGAACTTTCTTTTTTGTGTGAGCCTCAACTATTTGAAACCGAAGCTACAGGCTTATAGGACTTTCATTTTTCTTTTATTGTGTTTTATTGCATTTTGGGTTTGATTTTCTTTCCAGCTTCAGCGTTGCACTCTACTGTTTTTAGTCCACTCATCCTCAACAGTTTTCCGCTTCTCACATCTACTTGACAGAAGCACGTCTTGCACTCCTCATTTGAGGGATTTTTACCACCAGTTTCTCTTAAAATTCAGTCAGTGATGTTTCCCTTTTCTATCTTTCTCTTCCAGAGGATGACGTTGATTTAGAGGCCCTGGTGAATGATATGAACTCTTCCCTGGAGAGCCTGTACTCCACCTGCAGTGGTCAGCAGACAGAGTCCACCCCACTACTGCACAATGGACAGACCTCTTCCTCACACCATCACCCCCATCATCATCACACGCAACACAACCACCCTCGGCAGGGTCATCACTCGCACGCACTAAGCCATGCTTCCCCTGAGCTGCCCTCCTCCTCCTCCTCGTCAGTGGACTCACCCCAAGCTAGCCTCCGACGGTCACAACCCATGCACATCCTTGCTGTCAGGTATGTGTCTCCGCAGCATGTACAGATATTGATATATTTCTTTGCCCCCTTCAGCAGCCCAGAGTTGGGCGTGTCGTGTGGCAGATACATGGGGAACTGAACCTCTGAGGGAGGTGTCCGGTCAGCTCTCAATCTGAATGCACTAAAAAGTACATAAACATATAGTTGGCTGCAGGATGGCATAGTAAGATGGGTGAATGCCCCTAAAAAAGTGTGAGCACCACAATGAAAAAACTGGCATCATCGAAAAATTCCGAGGTGCAACCATGACATGAACAGGTTTTGGAGGTTTAGGCCCAGAGGTTAAAGGTTCATCAGCCTGTTAATCTGGTTTTGGATGGCTCAGTGCTCTCGAGCAAGACACTAATTTTCTTGTATCCCAAGAGACATGAGTTCATCTTTAAACTGGTGTTGCTTTTGATGCAATAGAAAAGTTTGTGATTATAATAACAGTAGATGAAATAGTGATTGTTATATGAAAGAAAAGTACGACTGCGACAGGTGATTTTTATTGGAGATTAAAATATTTATTTCACAGCTGGAAAGATGGTCTTTCCTGTGCAGTAGAAAGACGCAAATGACCACATGACCAAAGAAAACAGAGGGAAAGGGCTGTGACATTTGCTTTTGCTCAAGAGGTAGAAAATCTACAACTACCAGAATGCTTGAGTGTGATGTGATGTGCATTTGGCTGTTGGACACTAAGGCAGCAGGCTGGTAACATTTTGAATTACAGTTAAATGGTAAGCTAAAATATGTTTCTGGGGACGTTTTAGGAGACAAATAGGCGACACAGTAACATAATCTTGGATTGTATTTGATCAGCACTGCCTAGTTTTACAGTTTGATCAGAGTTTGGGCTGAGTTTGAGAGAGAGTGGGGGCAGGTCTCTCTCATGATCTGCTTCTTCACTCTTAAGTTTCATTTTAGTTTCATTTTCATCATGAATGATGCATTCATATTTATTTAACCAGGAAGTCCTATTGAGATTCAAACTCTATTTGAATGGTGAAGGGGGCAGCCACTCAGAACACTTTTAAAATGCAACATATAATACAAAAATCCACAATAAAACAACGTCTATTCAAACATAGTTGCCTCTCAAGAAAAACAAGCACGTCTCTATGATGCCCTTAAATTTATCAATTCATGTAAGTGTTTCTAATTTTAAATCTTATTGAAGATTGTTCCATGTCCAAGGTGCAGAGTAGGAGAATCCTCAGATCTGTTAAAACCCAGGGCACATTAAAAAGCAACCACTTGGAGGAGCGTAGCTGGTAACTACCAGAGCTGACACACAGAAGGGTGCAGAGGTAGGCTGGAAGTTTGCCCAATATTAACTGTAGATAAAAATATACCAATGCTGTTGTGGTATATGGGAATGAAGAATTACTATCCATAGTTAAAGCAACAGCTCAGGAGTTAGTGAGATTTGAGCTGAGAGATGAGCAGGGAGTTGTTGGTGCTGGTAACATGGAGGGATGTTTACCACAGTTCATTCACACATACTACCCCCATTAATATGATACAAAGGTGGTACAATATCGACAAAGTATCCCTTTAGGTATTTACCAAATGTAAAGCTGTCAATAGCCGAATAATCAAGATGAATCATATAGTTAACATTAATCATCACACTCGTCAGGTGTTTTTCAGTGACATCAAACACATCTTAGGCTCCATCAAAATTAAAGAGCCGTATAATAATCACACACATGTACCAGCAGTTAAAAATCTGATTAAGACTTCAGCCGTACATGTGCACTCATACACACACATGCAGCTGGGCAGCAGAAGTATGGCTCTAAACTTAAAGCTAACTCCCTCCAGCCTCATACATTTGCACATGCATAGCCACACACATATGCAGAGTTCTTTCTTCCCCTCTACATTTGAAAGGAAGCCTCTCACTCGACACTATCATTCCTCACCACCCTCTCAATAATTGGGCATAACGTATCCTCCCCACTCCCTATCTGTAGCCTTTGAATGACCCGTTCCTCCTTGTCACTCCCTCTTTGTCTCAAACTGCACCAGCAGGAGGAGAAAGGTAGAAAACTTCTCATTTGTTTTAGTACCAAGTGCGAATGTCTCTCTCAATTTTGAAGAGTAGTAACCCATATTCTCCCTCAGGCTGTTATTGTATGCATTTGAAAAGTGGGGATTTTTTTACTCACACATACACACTGAGGTAACAGAAGTATAGCTGCATGCATACAGCGCACATAAAACACAAAGGCATTCACAGCAGAGCTGGTGTCAGCTCCTATTATTCGCCTTTGGAGTATGTGACAGAAACAGAGGAGGGATGATCAGGTAATGGAGTATTCTGTCTTATGAGCTCTCTCTTTCTCTCTCCCTCAAACACACACACAGACTCAGGCCCTGAAGTTCTTATTATTCAGGACTGACCTCTGAATAACCCTGTTCTCAAGCTCAGATGGGACAACATCAAAAGGCGCGTTCCCTTTTGAACTCACTGGATTCTACAGAGAGACGGTTTGATAGAGAAAGAGACTAGGAGAAAGAGTCCTCTGCAGTGATTCTCTGAGCTAGCTGTGTAGCTAGGATTTCACAAACTGACCTGCCCATTTAAAAAAAAAACTAAAGAAAAAAAGACAGCAAAGTTTATGATCAGCTGCCAAATCATCATTCCTCTCTCAGGCCACAAGCTTACACTGTAGGTGCCTAATTTAAAAACTGCTTTGAAATCTTGATTTAATATTGATGCGTGATAAATATTGCAGAAAATTAGCTGGCACACTGTGGGGGTCTGTGATTTCCACTTGCTGGGAGACTGTTCATTATGGGTAGATCAGATAGAAACAGACATGAGCCTGGATACTGTACAGGAATGCTTTATTAATTCCAACTCTCCCTCCTGCACATATTTCACATGTGTCAGCGGCTCTCATTTCGAAGTTCTCCCTTTTCACTTTTCAAGAGGCTGTTCCAGGTCACGACCTTAGACTTTAGATAATGTTTTTATTAGTACAAGCTAATATTAAAAGCATGTTTGACTGTTCTTCTGTCCTGTAACAATTCGTTCAGGAGGTTGCAGGAGGAGGAGCTGAGGACATCGTCTCTCCCGGCCATCCCCAACCCCTTCCCCGAGCTCTGCAGCCCAGCAAGCTCCCCTGTCCTCAGCCCGGGGTCTCTACCCCCTGGAGAACCCTCCTCTGGCATATATGTAAGTCAAACCCCACAAAGACACACTGTGGAAAGTTTCCAGAAACTTTTCAGGAATTAAGGAAGCTTAATTTTTTCCCAGCAGGGCTCTTGCGGGTTTCATATTTTACTACACATTATAATTTGGTGTGGTTGCAACAGATGCAAAACACTGTCCTCATACGATATACGAGACCGTGTCAGTCCTTTGAAAAACAGGATATGAGATATCAGCTGATCTTGATTTACTTTTATGTTGATAACTGAGACATGTGCGACTCAAGTTACTTGTTTTGAAGGATGCAGTGTTTGAATATCGTAAATCAGCTGCATTTAGTGGTCAAGTGCGCCAGACCTAAGCATGTAGGAATTTTTCCTGCTTTACATCTGCCCCATGTTTTGCTCATCTGAGGCTTGTTGATTGCTTGCACGTGACAGCACTGTGCTGTGCAGTGCATGTGTGTGCTCGAGAGAGTTTGGCGCGTCGAGAAAAAAAAATGAGGTGAAGAGCAGTGTGTGTGTGTGTGTGTGTGTGTGTGTGTGTGTGTGTGTGTGTGTGTGTGTGTGTTTGTGTGTGCGTGTGACCTGCACACATGGCTGCATTTCTGTGTGCCTGTTTGCATTTGTGTGTTCGTTTGTTGAAAAGATTTAGAGACTGGTCTGTCTATTCCTGGAAGTCAGAGTCCCCCCATCGTCACTGTTAATGATCTTCACATGGGGCCAGCCAACGCTTGTTACAGTAACATACCAGCTTACAGTAATGCGAGGGTGGACTATTTCTCATAAATACTCTCCCTGGCTATGATCCTGGTCTGTTCTGGTCATGGCTGTTATGGTACAGGATCATAGACTGCAGTTCCAGTCAAATCGTTTCACGCCAAAATACGAGTCTGAGTTTAATACGACCTGATCTACCTCCTCAAACATCAGCTCATAAATCTCTTGATGAATTGATAAACCTGTGGCATCCCGTAAATGCTTTAAGAGTTGGGAAGTTGTGGCTTTGAATTACCATCTGTGTCATAAGTAAACCTCTAAATGGTGAATGTTGGACTAAGTCTTGAAAGATAAGGTTTCATTCTCGTCTTCACAAGTGGGAAAGTTGTTTCTTTCTTTGTGGGAATGTCATAGGCTTGAATTACTAGCTGCAGCATAAATTCAACACTGCATGGCGAACCTTAGTTTGTACGGTAAAGAGGTCAAAGATTAATGTCTTACTAAGTGGTTATGAGTTTTGCATTAAAAGCCTGTGACATAACCTTGGCAGGCGTGTCTGGTAAATATTCAGAAACCAATTTATTAGACTGGGTGACCTACTCGAGATGGGAATGTTGTTGGTTTTTGAATTCCCAGACGGCCTGTTAAGAGCGCAGTATAAACCAGGAAGTGGAGCGGGGGATTTGGGAGTTGGAGATTAGTGGCAGAGTAAATTATTTCTGTGATAGGATGAAATAACTGTAAAAGCGTGCTTTTTTTTAACCCCTCAACTCACCGTCCTGTATTCCATTTCCAGACATTCAAAGAGCAGGAATTGATGGATTTTGTCTTAAAAACAAAACATCTGCATATTTAAACCTCGAAAAAATGCTCATGTATCATCCCCCAGCATAATTTAGATATAACAATTTCCATTTTTCATTTTGATCTAACAGAGGAGCCATTGTTGTTCTTTATCTTTTATGCACAGTTTGTTTGTGTAACATGAGTTAGTTTTGACCAGTTTTTAAAGATACGCTATGCACGATTGTTGGTCACTCTCTGTAAAAATGTTGGCCAGCAAAGGTGGAAGTAAAAGCCAACCCCAGATTCACACTCGTTTGGCATTTTGCCTCGCTGTAGTTTCTTGGCGCGGTGTCTCTAGGATCTGCACCTGGTCACCACCGTCCCATGAAGCCTTGACCTGACCAGAGCGTTGTGGGGGTACATGCCCATAAGACATCCTGAAAACAGAAAATAAGAAGAAAATAAGAAAATCCAGGCAGAGGACAGAGTCTGTGCAGAAAAATACACCGCCACACACCTCTAGCGCATCATAAGTGATGATTGAGAGGGATTACTTCAATCATGCACATTATATCTTGCACAAATTTTGATTACAAGAACTTTCTAATTTTGTCAGTCATATTTGAAATTAAGAATTGATGTGGAGTGTGAAAATGAAGTTTTACATCATGTGTTGAAACGTCGCCAAACATCTGCTCAGAATGTACCAAAATCTAAACATGTCTGTAAAGGTAAATCGTTACTAAATATAGAAAAAACAAAGTTTTTACTGCATGGACCACCAAACTTTGGCAACGAAGAGGCAGTGCTGAGAAAAAGCCGTGGAAAACTGAATTCCCTTTGTGCGTTTACCGTGCGCACACTGTGCTCACACTGGGGTAAACTTTTGTGAGTGTGCTGTGCATTCATCCATGCATATGTGTGTGTATTTTGTTTTTTAGATGCATGTGTGTTTGCGCTCATGTCTGCCTGTTTGTCTTTGTTAGCTCTGTAAACTATTTACAGCATTGGCAGTGTCTATCCATTGTTGATGGCAATGGAAAGTATGTCTCATTGTGGTTGTTCTTCAGTGGAAATTCAATTCAGCACCTTTCTGTTGAGAAAAAAAAACCTCCCGCAGAGCCGTCTCATCACACACATGTGCTTTTAGTATCCAGTTCCAGAAGCATGTGGAACAATTGTAACGCTGATTTCTTGCAAACACACATTCCTCCCGTGAGTGGTTCAAATCTGTGGAGGAGTGGTGATCTGTTAAGGGTTTGACAAGTGGGTTGGTGGGCAGATAAATTATTGCTCGCAGCCCATTTTCCAAGACCTATGACCATAATCATTTCAACCAAATAAGCTTTACTTTGTGCCATTTTGACCTCTGTCTTTATCTCTCGTTGTCAGTCTGTCTGTATCTCCCCCTTTCCATGCCATCCAAACAGTCAGTCCAGTCAGCCAGCCTGCTGGTGAGAAGTTTCTCTGTTTAGTTTACTGAATTTTCCGACCTTCGGGCACTTTCTGCCAGACTCTCATGCTTCTGTCCCTCTGTTCCTCCTTACCTCACTCCTTGGCCTCTGTGCAGGAGGCATGAGGACGCAGCGCTGGGCTGTCAGGAATCGCTGGGCAAGCTGTTTGACACGGCCATATGACTCCCAATTACCTCACTTTCCTCCACTCTCCTCTCCCTCCTGTCCTTCTCCATTTCCCTCTCCTCAGCTTGTCTTTACAGCTTTACATTCTGAGAGGAAAAAAATCTGATATAGAGATGCAGTATGTTCAGTGATTTGACATTAATAGATGTGTTGGTCTATTCTAGAGCTGCCCCCTGAAATTTGAAAAGTGGAATCATCAGTGGGAGACTCCTTAGTCGACTGAGATCCTTGAAGTCGAACTGTCTTCTTCTCCTTTTTGTTTTTATATGTCAGTCAGTGTGCAGTGTACATCTGGGAAGGTCGTGGTCCCCAGATATATCTGCAGAGGGAAGCACTTCTTGTTTCACTCTGCTCTTTGCTACAGGCAGCTGCAGACACAGACCCGGGGTGAATCTAAGTGAGATGGAGGCAGCTGCCTGGAAAAAGAGAGGCTTTGCCTGCTCAGGCTTTGAGATAACATTATCTTCTGCCTTTCTGCTTAGAAGTGGTGAATTTACAGCTCACGGTAACTTACTATGATGCAGTCTCTGGCTTTTGTTTGATATGTCTGCGAAGATTCTCAGTCATCCAGGTCATGGTAATCATAAGTGCTCTATCGTAGGCTGCTGGACTTGCTTGAGTTTCTTGAGTAGTTATGGTCAGATATACATCGTTGACCCACCTGGCCATCTTGTGTGTCGAAAGGATTAGATGGGTCCATGTGAGAATGGGTGTTGAGTTGTCTGGGGAGGGATCAAGGAGAAATCCCTTGAACAGTCTTGGGATCCCTCCCCAGATGACTCAACACCCATTTTCACCCGGACCCATCTAACTCTAACAACACACACGATGGCCGGGCGGGTCAACGACATACACGTGACCTTAATTACTCTGAAACTCAGAGCTCACACGTGACCTCAGTGAGTCCGCACCAGTCCTTTTAGAACAGAAGAAGAGATGGATGAGAGGCGAAACATCTTCAAGAAACTCAAACAAGTCCAGTTGCCTATGATATAGCACTTATGACTTTTGTTTGATAGTGACGGCATATAATGTTATTGCACATTTCCAATCTGTTGTTAGCATTGTTAGCACGCATTAGCTTGAAGGACCAGCTTGGCCTGTTTACTATATTATGTGAGTGCCACTGTCACCTTGAACGTCGCTCCAAACTGTGTTCAAACTCTCAAACTGTATCAAAAAGATGGAACAAATAGTCGAATATTCGTATTGAACACTCAAATCTGATTCTACTGACATAATTTTAATTAGGGTACAGCCCAAGTGTATTTTGTACACATGACAAGAATTGCATGTCTGTCCATCCAGGTAGAGGGGTCCCTCCTCTGTTGCTCTTCCTGTGGTTTCTTCCAGTTTTTTCCCAGATAAAGGATTTTTGGGGGAAGTTTTACATATCAAAATTAAGGGTTTAAGGACAGAAGTGTCATATGCTGTAGAAAATGGAAAGCCCCTTCAAGCAAATTTGTGATTTGTGATATTGTGTTGAAGTAATGTAGTAGTTTACTGTCCTGCATTGGTTTTCTGAGGTGTTTACAGCAGGTGTATTTACCAAACTAAACCTTCAAACAGTTCTTCTGAAGTGTAGCATCAGTGACACATACAAATAAGAATCAGAATGAATACACTTAGTTAATTCAAGAGCTACAGGATGACTAAGAACATCGAGCACTGGCGCCAGTCCAGTGTGGTATGTGTGACAGGGTGCACTGATGGGCACATATCCCTAGAAAAAACTGTGCCTGCTGAGGATTACTACAAATAAAATCTGGGCTTTGTGGCTTTCTTAAACTCTATAGGTCCCATATAGAGCCAACTGGCAAAAAAACAGGTATTGCAACCTGCGCTACACTTAAGAAAATATTAGGAGCTTGGCATGTGT